AAAGGGCCCCCTACCAAACCTAGCCTCTTCCCTGTTCCGTCTCTAACTTCCTGGGCTCCAGCCTCCTCTCCTGGGATGTGTGGGCTCTTGACTTGTGCTCAAGTCCTGTTCTTCCTCAGTACCCTGCCTTTCACCCCCAATTCCAGCGAGTGCTCCCTGAGCTCTCCATATGCCACCCTCTTTCCCACAGTGTTCTCCAGCCAGGAGGGTGGATCCCACTTCCTTTCAGAGAAGTCGGGCTTTCTGGGCGCTGCCACCTCACATTTGACCGTGAAGTGGAGGCACAGCTCAGAGATGTTAGAGGTTCATTCCAGACCACCACAATAATGCAAAAGGGTGACTACACCTGAGAGGAGGGGAGCAAATATTGTTTAAAAATGAACAATGATGTAAAATATATAAAAAAAGAGACTTAACATAAAAAAAATTGCAATAAAGTGAGTTACATGATTTTTTTTGGTTTCCCAGCACCTATAAAGGTTATGTTTACACTATACTGTAGTCTATTAAAGGTGCCACAGCATTATGTCTAAAAACACAATATACACACCTTAATTGAATGTGACACAGAGATAAGAAGTGAGCACAGGATGTTGGAAAAATGGTACCGATAGATTTGCTTGATGTGGGGTTACCACAAACCTTCAATTTGTAAAAAACGCAATCTCTGCAAGGTGCAATAAAGCAAAGCACAACCCAAGAAGTTATGCTGGTGTTAAGATGAACTGCTGCAGTGAGCAGAGGGTGGAAGTGGCTGTCCCAGGGCCTTGGTTTCTGGATATATGCATCTACAGAGATGCCCTCCCCTCTGCCCTGCTCTCTGGACCCTCTCTCGGGCACGTGCTGACCATGTGCATATGTCCGTGCACTCTAGGCCTGTTCCTAGCCATGCCCTGGAATCTGGAGATTTCCCAGACTATTCACAGCTCTAGCTCTCCCATTCCTGGCTGTGTGTCCTGAGACAGGCACTAAACCTCTCTGAGACTTTTTTCCTCCCTTGCTAAGTGGATGAGGAGCCAGGTCTTGCTCTTCCTGGAGGAACACAGAATGGGCGGCAGTTCTGAGATTGCTCAGAGGAACTGTGTGCTTTTGTTACTGGTGATCAGGGTAAGGCTCATGGAACACTTTCCAAACCCCATCCCTGGCTGAGATTCCCAGTGGTCAGAAGATGGGCGAGGCCACAGGTAGATCTATAAACAGACTGAACCAATTTGGGGCCGAGTCCTGTTGTGGACATTCAGCACCCAGCCTAGTGCCTGGCCCATGAGATGGTCCAAAAATGTACAAATAAGCAAAAACCTGCTGAGAGAAGGAAAGGCTGGTTCCCTGGGTGTGGACGTTGCTGGCACGTCCCTGTCTCTAGAGTACTTGCTGTCTCACTGGAACATGCTGCGTGGGACAGGAGGGTAGGTTCTGATTCCAGCTCTGCCCCAGGTTTTGCCCTGCTCCTGGCCTTCCTATTTATCCCTCAGTAACATCAGGAGCTCTGTGACCTTGAAGACCATTTCCTGCCGGGATATTAATACCACCACTAATAATAACAGTAGCCATCGAGGCAGAAGCAGGCATGCTAATATTAGCTGCACCTGTTTAGGACATGGCACGTGCCAGTCTCCCTACATATGTTATGATGTCAGTCCTCAGAGCTCACTCCTGCGTCCTGAGCTGGGCTCATCCTCTCCATGTTGACAATGAGAGGACAGATGCTCTGTCCTTGCTCAGGGTCCCAGAGTGAGGACAGCACTCCAGGCTATTTTGGTTGGGCTCAAGGAACACAGGTACTCAGCTGACCCCAAGGAAGGCAGGACTGAATGAAAAGAGAAACAGCACGAGGATCTAGGGCCAGCCAGGTCACTGGGCAGCAGCAGGCTGGACTGGGGTGCAGAACAGGGGGGTTCAGGGGACCTCAGCAGGGCAGGGAGATGTGCCTGAGGCTGCAGTGCCAGCCTCACCCTAAGTGGCTCCCATCTCCCTACCTCCCTGCTTCTTGTTGTTTCATGCCAACTCAACATTCCCTCTCTCCCCTCAGTGTTTGTGTTCTAGACCCCAGCCCCGAGTTCTCATGGATGCTTCTGCCTTGCAGCCTCGATGCTCCCCCTTGACTTCTGACCAGGCATTTTTTACTCCCTCTCCCCCAGCTGCCTGCCCACTCAAGGTCCATAAGCCAGGTTGTCTGTCCACCCCCTGAAGGCCCCACCCTGTCTGCCTCTGGATGGGCTGCCTCACCCTTGTGCAATCAGCTGCGGAGGAGGGGCCCTCTCCTTTCAAGTGGACCTTCTGCAACTTGGCCTCAGGACTCTGTCACTCTTACAAATTATTGAGGACCTGAAAAATTATGTCCGTTTATCTTATGGACATATACCATATTATAAATTAAAGCTGAGACATCATAAGATGTTTATTCTTTGACAACCAGAATAAACACACTCTATGTTAACCTAATAGATTTTTCATAAAAAATTACTTTTTTTAACATGAAGGAATTAAGAGTGACATCACTTTCTGTTTGTTGCAAGTCTCTTTAATAATCCACTGAAGAGAAGGCACTGGGTTCTCCTGTCTGCTACTGCAGTCAATCTTTGGGAGCCTTTGGAAAACCCCACTGCACATTCCTAAGAGGGTATGTAAGGCAGGTAATGCCTCTAACCTGACAGAGTCTGTGTCTTAGAAGGTTTCTGGTGCAGCCCCTGCAGGGACTTGGGTTGTACCCTGGAACCCCCTGAGCTGCCCAAGGCTGCACACCAGGTGCTGAGCTCAGCAGCCCTTGGAGCTGCTAGATGGGTCGTGGGGCTCTGGGAGGGTGAGGGGAGGCTGAGAGCAGCTCCCCAGTCTATTTGGAGAGGCCGAGGGGAGAGGCAGAGTCTTCCAGGCAATGGGAAATGATTGGGCACATCTTCAAAGTGAGAGGTGAGGCACGGGGCCAAGGCGGCCGAGACCTCGAGGGCTCCGAGCACTGAGATCTCGAGCTCACTCCCACCCTGCCTGGTAACTCAGAATAAAGTTGATGTTCTGCAGTGACACTCAGCTTCCTTGTATGTTGAGGTTCAAATAGTCTCTTCTTTTTTTTTTTTTTTGTTAAAGATTTTATTTATTTATTTATTTATTTTATATATACCAGCACTGGGTAAAGTCAGAAGCACGGGAGGGTGAGAGAATTCACCAGAGCCAGAGCAGGGAGCAGAGCAGGCAGAAGGACCGAAGTACACTGCTGAGGGGAGCAGCGGGCGGCAGGAGAGGTCTGCGCGCCATGTGGGACCCTCCTCCGGTGGCCGGGGAGCAGCCGGGGATCGAACTAGCGCTGCAGAGGCTGCGGGCAGCTTCACAACCCAGCGCTCAACCGCTGCGCCACCGGGGAGGCCCCCAAATAGTCTCTTCTTAGATTGCAGAACTGTGGGTAAGTGCACAGAAGCTGAGCCTGCCTCCTTTCCGTGTGGGGCTGCTCTGCCTCTTGCATCAGATAGGTGCCTGGAGTAAATGAGGAGCAGGTGGGTGGGGTGGGGGAGATGAGAAGGACCTGCCAGTACTCTCAGCCCCGGGGGGTTCAGAGACTTACTGCCGAGGGAGGATCTGCGCTGCCCATCCTGGAATTGCCCTGGGTGGGTGGGGCAGCGGTGGTTAAAGCCCCACCTGGAATCTTCGGATCTGGGTGGGTGGCAGCAGTCTGCCCTTGGCCTCTGGTCTTTCTCTTGTGGGGCAGTGACCGCAGAGGACATGGAAGGAATGCTCTCTAGGGAACAGCAGAAGTCAGGGACCCCCCAGGCCTCAGAGAGCTGGAGGACATGCAGCTAGGTCAGGGGTAGTTCAGGGGTGTGTGATGGTCCACAGATCCCCTGATTGCCTGAACCCCAGCCCTGGCCACTTACTCGTGCCTCAGTTTTCTCATCTGTAAAACAGGGATGATGAGGGCAGCCCACGTAGTTGCTGGTAGCAAAGGGGCATGAGATAGAATGGATAAAGCATCTGGTTCTAAGCTTCCTTTCACTTCACTCAGTGCTGTTGATCATGTCCTGGTTCACAAGAGTTGCTCAATATGTAACTGTCGAACAAAAGCATTAATAAAGGCACACATCAGTGGCTCCGCCAATGCTGTTTCCTTCCCTAGGCAAGGCTTAGCCCAACTACCTGTAGCAGGGAAACAAACTCAGAGAGGGAAAGGGACTTGCTCAAGGTTATGCAGCGAGTTAGTGTCTGAGCTGAATCCTGAATAGAGGCTCTGCTACCATCAGCCACAAGACCAGGTGGAAGGAAGGGTTTGTGTGGGTGAGGGCTGGACTTTCTTCTCTTGCATGTGCATGCATGAGTGTGTATATGTGTGTGTGTGTGTGTGCATGAGTGCACGCATGTGTCTGGGAAGTCAGGAGACTAGCTTGCCTTCTTTCCAGGGCTCCTCCCTTCTGCCTGAAGGCCTCTTCTGGGTGGCTGGCTAGCCTGGCCCCTGCATTCCTCATTTATTTGGGATTTCTGTGAACCCCCTACAGGGTGGTGCTATCTTCTGAACCGAAGTCCTGTTAGCAAAGAGGCCATCTGGCATCTAAGAGCACCCAGGCTGTCTGCTCCAAGCATAGGTGGGAGATGGGGAGCAGATTTGAAGAGGAGGGCATGGTTACCACACTTTCCATATTCCGTCTCAGGGCAAACCCCATCCCTACCCCTAGCCCAGTGAACCCATCTTGGCCATAGGCTTGTTTTCCAAAGAGTTTTATAAGTCAGCGGCTCTGCTTGACTCTAGAATTTCTCACAACGTGGTCTGGGAACAAGAACAGTAGTGGGCTGGTTAGAAGGGCAGAATCTGGACCCTACCCCAGACATCCTTCCTCTTGTGGTCCCATCTGTGGAAGCCTAAAGAAGCTGCCCTAATGCAAAATGTGCAAGAGGCAAGGAGGAGGAAACAACATTTACTTGACATCTATTGTGTGCCAGGTATTTTCACATGTGTGGTGGCATTTCACACTCCCAGCCTCCCTGTGCCCTGAGTAGTATTCTGTTGATTCGACAGATAAGAAAACTGAGCCGCAAAGCAGTGGTGGGACTTGACTGAAGCTACAGAAACTGAAAACGGCAGAGGTGAGATTTGAACGTTTTCCTCTGCATGCAGAGGCTATGTTCTTTCTTTTGTTCCATGTTGCCTGGTTCTTAGTGAACCTGGGGATCAATAGCTAGAAACTGAAGGGCAGGCAGATTTGGACATGTGTCTAATCATCTGTATTGTCTAGAGGTTAGAAGGCTGATTGTGAGGTGGTGAGCTCTCTGTTGCTGGAAATATGCAAGTGGAGACTGGAAAGACCACTGGCCATGGTGGTGGTTTTCTGCATGTGCATATGCTTGCGTGTGTGTGTGTGTGTGTGTTGTGGCCAGGTAATCTGGAGGGCCTTCTTTCTTCCAATGTGGGCCTGCTTGGGCCTGCTTCAGGGTCAGTGCCCCTGTGGATGGAGGCTCTGCAGCCAGCTGCTCATTATCTGTGGCTCCTTTGAGGGGACCCTGCCAGCTCCCAAACAGGAAATCTGTCCAGAAAGCTGTAATTAGAGCTGGGAGCCACAGGCCCGAGAGGTGCCTGTGCAGCTTCAAGTGCAGACACGCTGCTGTGGTGAAGTCCCTGAGAGAGAACTCAAGGAGTCAGGTCCTCAGACCGGCTCCCTGCATGTGGCACCCCTGCCCCACCCATCCCTTGGAAGGAAACCAGCTTTCACTGGGAGCCTACTGAGTGTCTGGGTTTCACATCTGTTCTCTCATTTCCGTGCCTCCCCAGAGCCCTGGGAAGCTTCCACCACCATGCAGGTGAGGAGCCCGAGGCCCCAAGATGCCATATGACTCACTCAAGGTCATCCTGCCATGCTAGAGGTGAGTTTTGGGGCCCTGTGTTTGTGGATGCCGGTCTAACCTCTCCATCATTCCCAGGGAGGATGTCAGAGTCAAAAGTGGGGAGCAGTAGCTCAGGTAGAACCGACCAGAGTGGGTCCGGCTGAGTCCTGGGTCTGTCCTGATTGACCACGACTTCCCTCAGCCTCCTTGGAACTGTGTCGCGGGGCTGGGTCCCTGCTGTGCCACCCAACCGGGCTCCTGGGCAATCCATGGCCATGGCAGTGGCTTAAAAATGTGGGCACACGTTCTTGTACTCCTCCCTTTGAGAGAAGAAGTCTATGTCCCCTCCTTTTGAATGTGGGCAGATTGGTGTCTGCTTCACCCCAGTGAAGATGTCAGAAGGGATGTGAATCAGCAAAAGCTATGTGACTTCCACTTTGCTGGAACACCACTCTTGGAGCCTGGGGCCACCGTGCAAGAAGTGAGAAGAATCCAGTGATTCTTCTGGATTCCCAAGGCTGCCAGGTTGAGAAGAAGCCAAGGCACGTGGAGAGGCCATGTAGGCACTGTGGTCAACAGGCCCTGCTGAGCACAGCCAGCTCGCCTCCTCAGCTGTTTGGCTTTCCCCAGCAAAGGCCCAGACGTCATGGAGCAGAGACAAATCAACCCTGCTATGCTCTGTGTGAATGCCAGACCTACTGAATCTGGGAGCAGGATAAAATTGTTTTGTGCCACTGAGTTTTCAGGTGATTGGCTATGTGGCAATATACAGGTAACCTGGACAGATGCATCTTGTGGTCATCTCAAGGTCCACCCAGATCTCCTCCTCTGTCATGGGGAGGTTGGCTGGGTCACACCCTTAGTACAAAGCATAACTCCAAGGGGAATGGATGAGAGTGGGCGGGTTCTATATCTCCTTGGGATTGCACTAGCATAGCTTCCTCTGCCCACTCCTTGCTCAGAGATGAGTTCCCCAAGTCTGGGTCTGCCTCAGGCCCTTTATGAATGATTAAGAGTCCTGATCCCCTGTTCTACCTCTTCATTGTGGTGAGATCTTGGGCAAGTGACTTAACTCAGATTCTTTAGTCTGTAAGATGGGCATGATAAATACCTACGTCAGAGGGTATTATCAGAGCAGCGCCTGGCATATAGTAAATGCTCTGATTAGTGTGGCCCACCATTATTCCTGAAGCTACCCTCTTTCTGGTGCCTTGTGCCAACATATATACATGCATATATATATATAATATATATAATATATATATATACACATAATATATTATATATACAGATTTCATGTATAACTGACCAGTTTCTTTTTTTGCACTTGCTACCAGGAAGCTCATATGTAAAATTTTAAACCTTTTGAAACAATGTGTAATCTTCATTTTTGAACCAGCCAGATTTCTGGCTTATTTAATATCTTTACTTCTGTTTTGCTTCTTACTTTTCTTATCATTATTAACTTATGTTAAAAACTCTAATGTATGTTATATATCTGTTAAAACTCCCAGTGATTTGTGTTTGCTTTAAATCATTTTCCTTGCAACAAGGCAAGATATAACTGAGTGTACATGTACAGTACTTCTGAACACAATATTCCCAGAATGACCCAGGCTTAAGTGACAAATGAAAGAGTGTAGTTGTTGAATGTGCTTTTGTCACACAAGCTTGTCTCCCTCCAGATTTTGGCTATATTTACCCCAAGAGATATTGATGGTGGGCCATTGGACAAGTGGGGCAACAGAATCAAAGGATGTGATTTACCCAAGGTCATACAGGAAGTCAAAGAACTGGAGGACTTTTGTCTATGCCTGGGTCCACTCTATCATACCCCCTTTCACCTCAGAAATAGGGTTCTTACTCTCCAGTGGAAACTGGGGTGCATTGGTTCCTCGTCAATCACCCTCTGACAAGGGGGGTGGTCACAGTCCTTTGAGAACCCCCTGCCCAGACAAAGTCATCTATTGCCAAGCAACAAGGTTCTAGGGGATGCAGTCCACATCTGAGGACCTGCCTACTGTGTGCAGAAATGGGGATGGACTAGGAGGAGGTGCATGGGGATGGGGACTGTGTGTTGGGAAGGCTTCTTTTTTGATCTCAACCAGATATGAGAGTCTACTCCTCTGATCAAGTGGGGCTGCCATGTTTTCTCTGGAGCCATATGCTCTCTATATCCTTCCCATGAGGCCACCGTGTTCCCTTTGGTAGTGGTGGGAGTGGGAATTGCAATCTCCTTATCTGACACCCACCCCTGCCTGGGCGTCCAGCAGCTGTGTGTGCCTCCCTCTCTGAGTGAACTCAAACATGTTCTTTCACTCTGGGGGTCCAACTTTTGTCCTCTGCTTAATGGGACCCCGGGTCCTTACCCACTTCCTTCTCAGTGGTGTTGTGATAACCAGAGCCTATTTGTTCTAGAATGTTTTCCCAGCTCACATCTGAAATGTTGTGCGGGAATGAATCCCTAGGGGACTCTGCGTACCTCTTTGCTGCTCTCTCCTTGCTGAAGGAAACAAAACCCCTCCAAAAAAACAAAAGACATCAGTGCATCAGAATGCATGGAGCGGATGGTGGTGTTTGAATTGGAAATCACTGAGGTGGTTTGGTTTCTATTCGGTATCAGAGCTTTATTCATGCACTGAGAATTTGTTAAGATTTTGTTCTGTTCCCCAAATATTTATCGAGTGCGGCTCCGTGCTGTGAGCGGGAGCTGGGAAGTGACAGATGTGATGCGAGGCGGGGACCACCGCCTTGGAGGCAGTCAGACATGGCTCTCAGTTGCCACTCTGGTCCCTACTGCCTTGCTAACCTTGGGCAAATCACCTCCCCTCTGAGTTTATCCCATGTGTGAAGGGGACTATACTGGGACTTTCCTCAGACTGTTGTTGTGAGAAGTAAATGAAGAAATGCAATGTTTTTATTAATAGTGATTGGAATGCTGTCTGTGATTATTGTTTTATTAGGAGCGATAGAAAACAAGGGCCATGCTCCCAAGGCTGTCATGGTTCCGGAAGCTGTTAGTTTTGAAACAGGGAGCTTTGGGCTGGGGGAGCATACATAAGAAGCTGTGGGTGCCCAGGGAAGCCAGAGAGGCTTCTTGGCCTTGACTTCTTGCAGGCAGCTGTGAACCCTGCTCAAGCTGCTAGTGGAAGGTACATGTAAGATTTAGAGCGGATCCTTCTAGATTTCTGGTGATACAAATCTTGTGCATGTTAGCTATCTCACTCAGATGCTCCCCTCACAGTCTCCTATTGGCATTTCCAGGAAAATTATAACCATGTATATGTCTGGACTGAGTTCAGGGAAGGGGAGTGTAGTAGTGGGGAAGGAGTCTTAGTTGGCCATTGTGACTATAACAAATACTACAGACTATGCAGCTGAAGCACAGACATTTATTTCTCACAATTGTGGAGGCTGGGAAATCCAAGATCAGGGTGTTGGCTGATTCGGTGGGGACCCTCTTTCTGGCCTACAGGTGGTGGCCTTGCTGTGTCCTCCCATGGTGGACAGAGATGCCACATCTCTTAAATGTCTTCTTACATGAACATCAATCTTATGACCCTCCAGACATCCCTCCTCCAAACATCGTTACTCCCCCCAATGTCAACAATGTTAACGTTAGAGCATCAACCAATGAATTTAAGGGGGACACCCACTTGCAGTTCGTAAGAGTGGGTGAAGTCTTTGAAGGCTCCCTGATAGAGGTAGATTGGAGGAGTGTGGGGGAGGTGATTTCAGGTGAAGTGAGGCAGGGGATGCACATGTGCCTGTGAGTACAGGGCGGAGTGAGGAGACAGTCCCTCCAGGCACCCACCACCCTCTTCTCTCTCCTGCCAGCGCTTCCACTACCCAAGCAGTTCATGTTGGCATGCTCGGGTGCCAGCTCAGAAGTGACCAGGTAAGAGGGGTGTGCTGGTTCTCAGGTGTTGTGGGCAGGGCTGGGTCAGGGTTAGGGTGCGGTGTGGGGAAGACAGGTGGGAGATACACAAGCTATTTAGGTGACTGCAGCAGTAGTAGTCACCAGTGGGACTAAATTTCAACACATGAATGTGTCTTCTGGTTGGGCTGAGCTGCATGGAGCACCCATCAGCTCCCGATCCAGCAGCCTCATGCTGATGTTCCATCTGTGCTGCTGAATTTTCTCCATTTCCCCCTCATATTAATTTTTCACCTTTCTCACCTGCTCTGTGCTCTGGGAGGATGACTCCAGTGGACTGAAGCAAACATTATGGCCTTAAATTGCAACCATTTTTTAATGCTTGTCTATTTTATGGGTCAGGAACTCAGAATATGCATAGCAGGGTTAGTTTGTCTCTGACCCACGGTGTCTGGAAACTTGGACTGGAGGCCTCCAAGGCTCCCTCACTTATATGTGTGACAATTGGTGCTGCTGTTGCCTGGGCCCTCTGGCAGTCTACTGGAACACACCCACGTGTGGCCTCCCCATGTGGCTGCTTGCACTGTTGCACAGTATGGTGGCTAGCTTTGAATAGTGAGCATCTTCAAAGAGAGCCATTATGGAAGCTGCATTGCCTTTTATGGCTTAACAGATGTCACACTTTTTCTGTGATCACAATCATACTCAGATTCAAGGAGTGTTCAAGTCCCATTGTAAGAAGAGTATGTGGAATGGGAGACATTGAATCAGTTGTTTGGAAAATGAAATCTGCTACAGGATGAATCCACATCGCAGAGTCCTTCAGTCACAAACTCAATTATTGATGCAATCAACAAACATTCCATGGCTTCCATTCTGTTGGACTGTGGTTTAGTAGTAATGACTGTTCTTTTACCAAATGCTGCAACTCTCATGCAGCCCTAACTCCACGGGGGTTTCTGGGATGATTCTTTCCCCTTTCTATTTTAGCCCTAGGGGTGGCAGTAGCTCCCACTGCTAGTAACCCCAGGGTGCTATACCAGCCCTTTGTGGATTCCTTTAATCCTGTCCATGATTTTTTTTTTAAATATCCAAAAGGGCAGGTTTATTATAAAAGGGAGAGAAAAGCACAGGACACTTGCACAGACACAAGCAGGCAGAA